TTTAGAACAAATGATTAAATACCGTTCATAAATCAGTGGTTTGTAGGAAAACAGGGTTCGAATGTATATCATAATAAATCGTAATAGATGATAACACGAAGAGTAACTAACAATATGGAAGCTATAGATGCTAGGTTAAGACAATTAGAAACAGCTCAGAACCCAGATTTACAAGGTCAGTTAGATCAATTAATAGCTAGACAAGGTAATAATGCTGAATTGCAAGAAAGATTAAATAGGTTAGAAAATCAAGCTCAAAATAGAAATGAAATTGAAGGTAAAAATAGAATAAAAACATTTGATGGTAATTCTTCGGATATCGACCCGCTGAATTGGGTTAATAGGTACAATGCCTATGGCGATTTACAGGGGTGGAACAATGAAAGAAAAGCTAGAGCCATGCGTATGTTTTTGGGAAGTCAAGCCGAATTATGGTATAATAATCTCCCAGAAGACACTCAACATGATTTTGAAGCACTTCAAACTGCTTTTACGCAATATTTTGTTGGAAACAGGCCAAAATGGAACATACAAGCTCAATTACTCTCGAGAAATCAGAAACCAAATGAATCAGTTGAAGAATTCATGACTGATATTAGGCGATTAGCCTCGCGCTTACAGTTAGAGGAAAATGAACATAAAACAATTTTAATCAAAAATTTTCTCCCAAATATAAGGAAATTTGTGATCTCAAAAGAACCAAATGATCTCGCCGCTGTTGAGTCAGCAGCCAGACTAGCTGATTGTCTGAATCAAGTAGATAAGGAAGCTGAAAATGACAAAAGCAAGGTAGATACACAAAATTTAATGGGTAATATAGTAGAAAATCAGCAAAAAGCTATCAAATCTTTGACTGAAAAGGTATCCCAACTTAGCAGAGAAAAAGGGAAAAATACTGCCAACGATAGATTCATTGATGGAAGGCCAACCTGTCAAAAATGTTTTAGGAAGGGACATTCAGCGCCATTTTGTAGAAGTAGTTCAAGGTCATTCAATAGTCAAAATATCCGCTGTTACAATTGTTCAGGTCAAGGTCACATAGCAAAGTTTTGCTTGGCCAAAAATAGGCAAAATGTCAATCAGACACGTCCAGTTAACTCTTTAAACGCCGAAGGCCGCGTCTAAAGAAGCGAGAACTGAAGTCACGGCCGAAGAAATATGTAAATAGCAATCCTCGCAAGAAATTTATCGGAGATATTGAAATTCAGGAAAATTTATATCAGGATAATGCGATAAAGACAAAATTATTTAACAGCACAGTATGGTGTCTCTTAGACACAGGTGCTCAGATATCATTGATTGATGAGGAACATTTAGAATCCATAAAGGATTATGATATAAAAATATATCCTGAATTTCATATCAAACCTGTTGGAGCCGGAAATGAAAGATTGAATTTAAGAGGAAAAATTTTCACGAAAATGACCTTTGGAAAGGTAAGTATTCCGATAATGTTATACGTCATACGAGGATTGAGAAGAAAAATAATATTAGGTGCCGATTTTCTGAACAAACATGAAGCTGTGATTGATTTCAATGTCAGAAAGTTGAGATTGAAGCCGCTCAATAAATATCCTCTCATTTTAAACCAAGAGATCATCATACCTCCTCAGACTGAGATGATTGTTTATGCAAAGGTTAAGGGTAGACCTCCGGAAAATCTTATAGGCGAATGTTTAGCGGTGAATTCGCGATCCAATGTATTTACAGCTAAAAGCATAGGTACAATTACAAATGGTCTTGTTCCAATAAAACTTTTAAACCCGGAAAAACGCGCGATAAAAGTGCCTAAAAATACCAGCGTAGGAACATTTGTCAGTTCAAGGAAAGGAATTAACACACTCTCATTAGACGGCGAGCACAATACAAACACTTTTGCAAAAAGAAACGAGAAAGTCAAGATAGATCTATCAAATTCAAAGTTAACTCCCGAACAAAAGGTCAAGGTTCATGAAATGGTAAACAAATACTCAGATGCTTTTGTAGATTCCACCGGCAAGTTAGGTTATTGCGACCTGCTCAAACTCAAAATAAAAACAAAGCCAGGGGAAGTACCATTTCGCCAGTCCCCATATAGAGTACCAGTTCAGAAACGAGATGAAATAAGCAGACAAGTCAAAGATATGTTGTCCCAAGGAATTATTGAACCGTCAACTTCACCTTATGCGTCACCTATAATATTGGTCAATAAATCGAATGGATCATTCCGTTTCGTGACAGACTTAAGAAAGCTAAATCAGCAAATCATACCTGATAAATTTCCTATACCACATCTAGGAGATTGTTTAGATAGCTTGGGTTTAGTCCAACCAAAGTTCATAAGTTGTCTTGATTTATGTCAAGGATATCACCAATTGCCTTTAGAAGACGATGGGTCAAGAGAAAAGACTGCATTTGTTTGTCATGAAGGGTTGTTCCAATACAAACGGTTACCCCAGGGATTGATTAACTCAGCTAGTTTCTTCCAGAGAGTTATGCAATTAGTATTAGCCGGATTGCAATGGAAAACAGTCATCTGCTATATTGATGATTTATGCATATTCTCCAACACCTTTGAAGAACATCTCGAGCATTTGGGTCAGGTATTGGATAGATTATCCAAGGCTGGATTGAAGTTGAAACCTTCAAAATGCAAGTTATTTGTAGAAAAAGTTCGATATTTGGGACACGATGTGTCATCTTCAGGAATTGCTCCCACAAGTTCAAATGTCAAGGCTGTGTTAGACTGCCAATCACCTACTACCTTGAAAAAGTTAAGACGATTCCTAGGAATGGTCAACTTCTACAAAAGGTTCTTAAGTCATCACTCTCAGATAGCTAGACCACTCTATAGATTGACTAAAAAAGGTGTTCCTTTTGAATGGAGTGCTGTTTGTGAGGAAGCTTTTCAAGAATTGAAAAAGAAATTGACTGAGGCTCCTTTACTCAAATACCCTGATTTCAAGAAACCCTTTCTCTTGTTGACTGATGCGTCAAATGAATCGTTAGGAGTAGTGTTAAGCCAAGTTACCGATGGAGTTGAACATCCGGTAGCGTATGCTGGGAGAAATCTATCTGAAACAGAAAAAAGATATCCCACTCATGAACAAGAGGCTTTAGCGGTCGTGTTTGGAACAAAGAAGTTCAACAATTACCTTAGATACAGCAAGTTCACTGTGGTAACAGACAATCGTTCTTTGAAGTGGCTTTTGTCAGTGAAAGAACCTACAGGTAGATTAGCCAGGTGGATAATGCATTTGCAGCAATACAATTATGATATACTGCATAGATCAGGTGCCAAGATGGTTCCTGCAGACTTTTTGTCTAGAATGCAACATCCAGATCTTCCAACAGAAGACCCTGAAGATTTGTCAGGTTTAACTGAATTGTTAAGCGTGAATTCCGTGCCTAGTGAGAGGACAGTCAGTGCAAGGTCACTACAACCTGCTGCTAGCGCACCAATATCTCCAGCTGATGAGGATAAACAAGACGGCATACCAGGTTTGAACCTAGAAATGCTCGGTAAGCTACAAAAACTAGATGAAGAATGGAGACCTTTGATAAATTATCTAGAGAATCAATTATTGCCTGGTAATGATATTCAATCCAGGAAAATCCTGCTCAAAGCAGCTGATTTTGTCTACCGAGACGGTATTTTATACCATCTCTGGTATCCAGACGGTCCGGGAACTAAATTATCAAGATGTAAGGAACAATTGGTAGTTCCCAGAGGATTGATTGATGAAATCCTCACTCAACATCATGACCAGACGACCTGTGGACATACAGGCATACACAGATTAATCGATGTCGTAAGACAAAGATATTTCTGGACTACCATGAACAAAGATGTAATCAATTGGGTTCGTTCTTGTGAAACATGTCTTGCTAGGAAAAGACCCCCCAGGTATACTCGAGGTCGTCTACTTCCTTTGGAAATTCCTGATTCTGCCTTCGCCTGGTTGGAGTTAGATTGTTTGGGTCCATTAATGCAAACAGAACACGGTAATAAATATATCGTTTCTTTTGTGGACAGACTGTCAAAGTTCCCTGAATGTTTTGCAGTCCCTGATATCAAAGCCTCTACAATTGCCCGTCTTCTGTTTGATGAAATCATATGCCGATATGGTCCACCTCTTATGATAAGTCACGATCGTGCTTTAAACTTCATGGCTGAAGTTGTTGAAAATTTGTGCGATTTATTCAAGGTCAAAAAGGTCAAATCTTCAGCTTATAGTCCTCAGACTCAAGGAGCTATCGAACGGTATAATGCCAGTCTGATGGCAGCCCTGTCTTCAATTGCCGATGATCACAGGAATTGGGACGTATTGTTACCTGCGGCCATGGCTTCTTATAGAATGACCAAAACCGTTCATGGGTTTTCCCCTTTTCAAATTATGTACGGAAGGGAACCATTTATGCCATTTGATACAGTGTTACAAAGGGAGGTGTCATGTAAGTCAAATTCAGTTCAAGAACACCTAGAAACCATACAGAGTAGAATATATGAGACAAATAAAATAGTACAAGAAAAATTGAGATTAAACCAGCAGAAAATGATCAGACAGAAGGACAAGGAAGGATATACAAGGCCACTACTGGTCGGGGAACAGGTAATGTTGTTTACCCCAAAGAAAGCCATCAAAGGTCTAAAGGCCAAGAAGTTGTTGCACCTTTGGACTGGCCCGTATACATTATATAAATCAATAAACGAAGCTGACAATGCCTTCATATTGAGGAGAATCTCGGATGGACGTATAATGCCCACTCCGGCGAACGTACACAGATTAAAAAGAGCCGAGCAGAGAATTACAAGAATACCAAACGAAGTATTACCTGAAGGGTATGACCCAGAGGTAATCACAGAAGAAGAGATGATGGATGCAGAAGAATTACCTAGAGAGTGTTTCGAATCTGATGATGAAGACGACAAAGAAGAAAATACTTCTAACCAAGTCTCACAACCAAATGATTCTACCCGAAAGGATGACGAATCTGAAGTTGGAAAGAATACAGTTCCACGACAAAATGATTCTGAACATGAGGTCAAGCATTCAAGAAGTGTTATAGGAAGTAAACAATTACCGACTGAAAAGGAAAAGTCGGAAGAGAATACAAAAGACGAAGACGTCGAATATAGTGAAAATGAAAGTGGAAGCGAAAGTGGACAGAACCACTATGATGACTATTATGAAGTAGAAAAGATTTTGCGGGGTCGTTTTAAGAAGGGTGAATTAGAACCGCAATACTTGATCAAGTGGAAGGGTTATAAAATTCCTACATGGGAACCCGAGTCAAACATGACACCCCAGTTAAGAGAAGAAATAAGGCAAAAGCCAGTTAAAATGACGGGGAAAAGAGAAAATATTTTACATACTAATGAAGTATGAAGTGTAGAGAAACGCATTAATCAAGTTATTACTGTCCGGAAAGTGATTTCTTTATTATTTGCAAAAGGTGTGTTTTCTTCACAGTGTAGGTTTATTGATGGAAACATATGTTGGTACAGAGAATACCCAGCCTATTTCGACTTGAAGACATATACCAGGTTGAAACAGTTTGCTCATGGATGATGCATGAATTGCAAATGTGGATCTTGGTGTGTCCGAGAGTTGATGGGGGTGTTGTGTTTATTTGTAATAACAAGAAAAAAAGGGTTATGTTTACGTCGGGGAAGACGGGCCCCTTCCTTGATAGAGAACTAACTCTAAAATGCAATTTGTCAAAACCTCTATATTATGAGAGAAAAGGCCTGCACTGTTGGGAAAATAAATAAAAACGAGAAACAAAAATATATTACAGTGAATGTTCTTACAGATCAATGAAGAAATATGGTAAACACATATCAGAGATGTTAAGTTAAAAGAGTAGTTATTAGAAACATATGGTGGCATTTCAAGAATATCGGACAGAGAATTTGCCGAGAACCCATGTTACGTCACCAAGAAGAGGCGGATCTTGAGTAGTAGAATGCATAAATCTGTGTCCCTGAGAAAAATCCTAAGTTTTTATTGGTAAGTGTCGGTATCCCTGTTGCCCGAATATTTCAATTAAAGGTTAGGTTCTGAATTGTTCTACCTCTTTTGCCAAACCACTGAATAGCTGTGTACTCGAAGTTTTTGTCAACACATACTGATTGTGATACCACAAGGGATATATATATATATATACACAAATATCTTCTTCCAGTGAAGTCAACAGTGAGTATGACGCTATATTACCTTCTTGTGATAATAATGATGGTTATGGGAGGACACCTTGTACACGCCCAAAAGGAAAACGCGGATCCGTGGAGATATAATTACGGAGTGAAATTCGTTCAGATCAAGAATAACCACTTGGCGGAATCGGATTCATTTCACCTTACATTTAAAATGGAAACGTTGCCGTTAATTAAGGCTATTGATCAACCAATAGATTTAACATGTAACCCCAATGGCATATTACATACCGGTACGTGTGAACAAATGCGCGATATCATGAAAACGTTGACTGAGAAAATTTTAGCGCATCAAAATAATCTCGAAGCGCTGTTGCCTAATGTAACTCATTACAGATATAAAAACAAGAGAGCCGCTCTGTTGCAACCTATAGGTAACCTAGTCTCATCAATATTTGGTTTAGTGAGTATGGATAAATTTAAAATATTGGCTTCGCATGTCAAATATTTGGAAACTTTTGGAAACAAATCAGCCGTCCGATTTAACCAATTTGAGAGTGAATTGCATGACTTCATGGAATTGTCGGAAAACCGCTCTACTAATATGTTTTCTATGATTAATCAGAATCACGAATCCATTAATCAATTGTTGAATTACATAAATAATACGGAATTTAGGCTACAACTTGATGAGATGAATATACGAAGACTAAAAGTCAGTATTGATAAAACTACGGGATTGATGACAGCGTACTTTAAATACCTAAGTCAAGTAATATATAATTTGAAATTTGCGGAAACATGGTATCACAGACACGTGCTGGCGATTAAAATGGCTAATACTGGACGTTTATCGCCGGATCTCATTTCGGCTAATGATCTAAAGAAAGCGCTGGATAAGGTTAAAAATAAATTGTCATTACAATTTCCGAATTTTAAAGTAACTGAATCTGCACTTCAGTATTTCTTTGAAAAGCCAATTGTATCTTACTCGCGCACAAAAAGCTATTTATATGTAATGATTGAAATACCTATTTCTACTACAGGATATAAATATTCTCTATATTATGCGGAAACTCACTCAGTGCCTATACCGCGTGATTTGAATTTCAAACAACAGCGGGGCAATCAATCAATCATACTAAATAATCCTCAAAGATATATTGGTCTAAATGAAGAAAGTTCCTTTTATTTCGAACTAACCAGAGATGAATACGAAATTAATGAAAAGTATGATTCTCAATCTCAAAATGCGTATTCTAATTTGAGGCCTATCCAAAAGAAATCGTGTTTACTAGCTCTATATATGGACGATGTTCAAAATATTCTAAAATTATGCAATTTTCATTATCAAGAAGAGTCAGAAGTTCGCACAAAAATTATGAAAATATCTAACAATCAATTCTTAATAAATGCTGAGGCAAAAGACAATTGGGTTATGCGTTGTAAGCGTAATCCCTCAAAACATATACCTACTTGTAGGTACTGTAAAATAAATCTAAATTGTGATTGTTCCTTGATGATCAATGATAATTATATACCTGAGCGAATAGGTTGCGTTATGGATTCAGCGGAAATTGAGTACAATTATCCCATTAACATACCATTCATACATCATTTTATAAATGAAGAATTAACGGTCAACATGACCGGCTCCGAATTAGACTCGGTGGAGCCTGTGATAAACCATGAAAAACTACCGGTCACTATGACATCAGCTAGATGGCAAAACGCTATCAAATCCGAGGGAATAATACAAACAGATGTTAAACGTCTCGCGGATGCTGTAAGGTCGAATGGACCTCTACACTTTTCGGAGGCGGATCAATTGAGTTTTGAGATGGGTGATTGGGACTTTTTCGGAATAAATATAACCGATGTGATAATTTATGTTTCTTTTGCTCTGGCTGTGATCGCGATCATATCTAATATTTATGTGCTAACAAAAATAAAGTTTATATTAACTACTATTCTGTCAATAAAGAGTGTAATGAAAGCGGAAGGTCGCCAATTCATTGTAAAGTCCATGCGAGATACTACTACGAGTCGCACTCCAGAAAATATGAAATATTTAAATGTCACCCAAACTTGGTCAATCATTATATTGACCATAATGACATTTTATGTACTAGTGATGACGATTAAGTTTATGTTGAAAGCATGGCGTGCCGTGTGCGGAAAACGAAGTGTACATAGGAAATCTAGATTGATATTAGAATTATCTTCATTGAGTCAACGGATGACGATACCAATAACAAAGTTACAATATGGGTATGAAAGGTGTCAGTTGACTCAGCGAGGAGTTATAAATAGTATTCAAGTTCAAAAGGGACTGTTCCAAAATAATTTATCTATTGAATGGGGAGAAATCAAATTTATATTGGACAATGAGGAAATGAATTTGAATTTGCCGCCACAAGTTCCCTTACCTTATGGTTATGGGAGATCCATCACCGATATCCTATCTGAACCCTATATTATTAGATTTTACTACGAATTGGAAACTAATGTATTTGTCCTAATACCTTTGGAGAGACTATAATGGGCATGGTTTTGAAATTTCAGTGGCTGAAAGACAGGTGTGGCGTAGGCTGGGGCCAACCGAGGACAGGGCCACCCAGACGGACCCTATAGCTCAACCTACCCAACCCTCTGGGGGGCCATCCAATGACCAAGACCCAATCCAAACTCCCGTTGGGGAAATAATAGAGGCGCAGAATGTGTTCGTGGAGAAAGTGACAGTTACCAAGTTCAAATAAAAAGGGAAAATCTCCTGAACAGTGGCAGTGATATTAAAATTTGATGTCTCGAGGGTTAGCGTGGCACATCACATTATATTACGTTATGTTACATTAGGTGGATAGTTCTGAAGGACGTAGAACTGTTAAGGATCAATTGACTCATATCCCCGATGATAAATGAATAACAAACTACAGTCTTTGATAATTGCGTATACTGAATTCCTTATTTTACCGATTACCTCAAAATAAAAGTAAAAGTCATAAATAGAAGAAAGAAATAAAAATAAATAAAAAAAGGATAGAGAGCCATGAGCCACTAGCAAACAAAAATGGAGTTATGTAAATTTATCAAATGTCAATTAAACACCTTACCTTCCTGGTCGCTGAGCAAGAAGGTATACTCCAAACAGTTAGACAAATTAATAAACATGACCTCATTGTGTTACAAATGCCACTTGATTTATCCTATCATGAATATCCATGGCCTCCCTTGCGGTCATCATGTCTGCTCCAAGTGTAAATATGCCCTAACATCAGATGAACTATTAGGTTGTTTAGAATGTGTACAAAAATGGAAAGATGATCCCTCCTGTTGTACCAGCTGTTTAGCAGAAATCACTTACTCGGGGGAGGAACATAATTGCCCAGGTTAAGTTAATGAAATAGCATGATAAGATGCCTTTTGCCCATTTGAACTTGAACTACTGAAACAATTTCATTGCACGATAATGTATTTTATGAGAAAAGCATGAGTTAAAGGGGAATTCATTTAAATTGCTAAATATATGCATGTGTATATATATCATATTTCACACTAATGCTTTTAACCTTTGAGCCTGCAGTTTCTAGAGGACCTGAGAATTAATAGTTGTCTGAGATTGGCCTCTACTAGAGACCTCTTTCTAGCAATGAAACGGTCCGGAGCGCCGAAGAGGTTCACAAACTTCATACGCTATCATCTCAAGAATCCCCTTTGATCAATTGAACCAGATGTAAATAATTAATTGATCTGACATATATAATCACATATAACCAAATATATATTCGAAGCATGTTTTACTAATTTAGTGCATGAGTTATGAATGCTCTACAATGCACTTAGTGTGTGGGTGAAATAAGTACTAAGAAAACAAAAATATAACGTGTGTATCATCATAACATATAATCCAGGTGTACATAATTAATTGATCGAATAATTTATTAACCGATATTACCTCAGTGCCTTTGACTGAAGTGAGTTGTAAATAATACTAACTCTAATTTGTTTATAATATATTTATCATATATCATGAATAACATCTTATTGGAAGATGTTAAAGATGCATGAAGTGTGATAATCTGCCGAACGGATTGTACCTTATTGAAAGGTGCAGGTGGGCAGAATTTTGTAAATCTTATATAGAGGGCATACAAGGTATAAGTATGTCTCCATGTAAAAGTAAATTGAACATAAGATGTTAGGTATAGAGATAAGTTAGATAAGTTTAGTCAAGTATCATCATTGCATGTATTCATACATATTACTCACATAGTAATCATATTTACTCACCTTATTTAACCATTATAACATGATAATATATTAATCACTAATAAAATAACAAAAGAAGAAGATGACTTCAGAGACGAGTAGCTCCTACAAAGATGAACTAAAGAATCACCAGGTGCCATCTATCAATGGATCACCCAACATATGAACGCTGAATGCGGATTATGATCAGTGATATCGATAATGAATATGGACGCTGAAGGTGAACCTAGCAAATGCTATGAAGAGAAGAGAATGGATAGAGACATTTACTTATGCATATCCATACTGCTACAACAATTCATAAACACTAATAGTGATATGAAGACGGAGACTAAGAATAAAGTTTAACAGTTAATTAAACTATGAACTCTGGAGCATGAAAGTAATCCTGGTCTTTCACCACATTCATTGGAATCAGGAACCACGTCAACCTAATGGGTTGTTGCGCGGCCGGAATGTGGTATATCATCTCAAAAATACAAAATAAAAATAAAATAAATAAATAATTTATATTGTAAAGTAAATTAACCAGGTATGGTTAATTTCTAAAGAAGGGGAGATTGTTATGATTCGGTCAGTACGTAATTATATTTAATTATATATAATTACTTTATTATTTATTTATTATTTATATCTAATATAAAATAACAATTTATATTCAGCATATTCCAACATTGTAAAGATCTTGCTGTATTCTTATGATTAATGACTATTTAGACCTCAGTTTGCTTTAGTGCAGGGGAATCCCTACGCTACTATATTCAGCCAAAATAAAGATATATCAGAAGAATTCTGACAAGTTAAAACTTCCAACAACCAATCACAACTCAGAATTACGATTTGAATCTTGCTTACATAAGCATGAAATCAGCAATATTCTTACTTATATTTGCACAATTTTGACAGGTAAAATAATGTATTTTACCTGGTATATAAAGAAGTCGGCAAGATCTGTTGATTCAGTAAGTTTTACTCACTCACTACGATGCTCAACAATTGATGAAAGGAGAAACAATAACAAGCGAATCTACCGAAACTCGGCTGGCCGGATCAATCTCAAGAAGAATTGGAATTTGAAATAAAAATTAAGAAACAAAACAAAGGAGTCGTGTTCAATTAGGTAGTCAGGAACCCTGCGAGTACCGAAGGACCACAAGATCCCGAGATAACAGTTACGAAACGTAACAATAAGGTTCCCATGTGGTTCGGAGGAAAAAGGGCAAAGGGTGCGAGACTGACATACCTCAATAGTTCTCCGAGTGGGTACAGTCATGTCTGGATTCTAAGGAAGAGAAGATGGAGGGGGACAAAGTCGATGAACAAGATTAGTTCAAACTAATCAATTTCTACTTTTGAGAATTAATTTATCCTTTAGATTAACAAATTATACAAATCACCAGTACCTAAGGCACGTGTTATCATGAACCAGGGTGATGGTCCCACCCAGACTAAAAAGCCCAAATTGTGTAATGACAATACACCAGCACCTACCTTTGCCGATACTGATAATCATCCATGTTTCCAGAATGTATCTCACCATCACACATACAGTACTGCTAATCAAACTGCCAATGAGTTTGTGTACCGAGGAAAATCTACATGGGGAAGATACATGCCAATGTCACACAAACTGTATATCTCGAGTTATCATATGAAGTGACTAAGTTACAACATGAGAATGGAAAGTTGACCAAAGGTTGAGGAAACGTCAACAAAAGCCTATAGTTATTCATGGGAAAAACACATTTGAGAAGTATTCTCATAAAAAAATATATCCGATGAAATATTCAAACTTCTAACTGGCATACCAAATAAAGAGGCTTTTGATGCCGTTTATACAGTCCTTCAGAAGAATATTCCTAATCTGACACAGTGGAAGGGTGCTGCCAAAACTGTAAACGTAACAAGGAAATTTCTGAAAACACCCCAAAAAATTGGACCCGATAGAAAGCTTCATCCTAGAGATGCTATGTTAATGACGCTCATGAAAATAAAACTTGGACTCATAAACCATCTTATCGCGGATTTATTTCAAGTTTCTCTGGGAAACTGTATCTAGGACACTGAATACATGGTGCAAATTTCTTGCAAGCAATTTAAAAACACTAATATTCCAACCCAAACGGGAAAAATAGAGGCACAACATGCCAAGCAAATTTACAGAACTAGGTTCTGGCTTCAATATTCATGAGGAGCTAGTGCATGGGTGATGTAGGCTCCACATCCCCCAGGATTAAAGGGGGAAAAACAATTCACAAAAGACTAAGTGAAAAGAAACATAGCAAATAGAAGGATTTATAGTGGAACAGGCAATCAGGAGAATAAAAACATTTCGCTTATTGAAGTTTAAATCGCCTGTTACTCTGTTACCTCTTTTCGAACAATTATGATCATTGTTTGTGCAATATGCTATTTATATGTTCCTTTTTGTAAGCGATTTTTTTTACAAGACCAACAACTGCTTGATCCATGATCCTTCGACATAGTCGTGGAAAAATTTGATGGATATTTTGTTCCGCGCATGAACATATTCAGTGAGGAGATAAAGTTCGACACACGTTAACAGGAAGACGGGGAGAATGTTGAGACTTTTATACGCGCACTGTATTCTTTTAGTGAGAAATGTGATTTCAGTGACAGGGATCGTTGTATCAAAATACGTCTTGTGAATGGTCTTAGGGATCACAAGTTATCATTGGAGATTCAAACTAAACCAGATTTGACACTCTCTGAGATCATTGAAAGAGTCTGACATCATGAAATAGTAGCAGAGCAGATGTCTTCAGATTTGGATAACTTGGAAATTGATGTTGTTAGGAACAAAGATGGTAAATTAGTTGCTGATAAGCCTTGTGGACTATGTAATTGGTCTCGTTGGTTACGAGTCTGGAGAGATGATATACGCATCTTTCAATGATGCTTTGAAGCAGTTCCGTGTCAATGAACAGAAAGGACAGGTGCAATTTAGAGAGATATTGAAAAAGGAGGCCGGTTCATCAAAAAGAAAGGTAGACACAATCGACTCCCTTGTTACGCGTGACCTATTTCCGGACAAAGTGGAAAACGTTCAAGAATTAGGAAGAAAGATATACTCTCCGTTACTAACTTATACAGGAAACGACGAGACCCTGAGAACACGTATGGAGAATGCTATAGAGGACTCTAAAGCTAGATCCGGCGGGATTGCGCCCCTTTGGGCCGCTTATAACTCAATTGATAAAGACAAGGCGATTGTACTTTGCGATAGGAAATTTCCAACAAGAGATGCTGGGAAGCTATTATGGGTTGCACTGAAGATGGATATAACTCTTATTCAGCGGGGTGGAAAGCTCGTTGAACCGGATGCTTCGCTCGTAGAGAGAATGAAGGCTTTGAAGTCTTCTGCTATACTTAGTAACATCAGCTGCCATCGGCGAGAGAACATAACATACTCCAAATGCCCCAGCATTTCGGGAAAAACCCACATCAAGCCATATTTAGCATGGCTTGCGTCCCGAACGATGAACCTATCAGATGATGAGAAGATGAATATGACGAAATCGAACGACCCAGCCGGCCTGATGAAGTGCATTAGCTTACTGAAAGGACGTCAGTCTAACGTGGGGAACAAAGGGAAGCAAAAAGATGCTCTCCTGTCAAAATTGCGATCTAAGATGGAAGCTGGTCAAGCTCTTAGTGCAAACAAGTTTCAAAAGCAAGCATGGCATTGCTTGATATCGGAGGATGACACTCCCAAAAGAGAGAATATGATGTCCGCCCTTGCCCACTCATACGGAGTGGTCAAACCAATGATGAAGGTCTCATATCAAGCCCCTATAGCTGCACAGAGAATGGCCGTCATTGACGACTGGAAAATGGAAGTGCGGTGTTTTGTCGAACATGGACAATACTTGCTAACGCGTGCTAGAGAGATCCCACTGATCCATCTTTTTGATGCTTCTTCAGAGGATTTAGGTGTCCTAGAGTATCTTACCAATGAGACCTTCCGCACTAGAGGGGAGATACCAAATCAAAAGTGGGCAAATCCCACTTGGGACACTCTAATATTGCCAAAGAAAATGGCACCACCTGCTAAGGGGCCAGCAACTGAGAGTTCAGCCGGTCAGATCGTTATTATTAATCCTGTCATAGGTATTAAGAGAAAGTGTTCAGATAGGGTAGATAAGGCCTCATTTGTTGGTGTTGGAATCAATCCTGATTACCAGGAGGTTATGGAAGGTCTTGCCCTACTACACCAGGAGGTTGGATTATATGAGCATATGGAGATGACAACAATCTACGGGATAGATGGGAACGAGCTGGAAACAACAGCAGATTTAACGGAGAAAACGAGAGGAAGACATTTCTTCTCTAAGAAAGACTTTTAGTTGCGTGGTGGACACACCAAGGACAGTAAATGCATAGATTCTACTAGTCGTAGACGTTGTATATCGAAAAAAAAAAAAAAAAAAAAAAAAAAATGTAATCGGAAGCATGGACCACGTAACTGCCCTGCTATTGGGAAAATGAGCTATAAATGCAAAAAATGAACCATTTTAGTTACCCATGTAGATCAAAAAAATCGCAGAATACGAAAGTTGAGGTTGCACATGTTCAGCAACCTACAGATAAGGTTAACGCAGTGGTGTACCAAGGTGTACAATCATTTGTAATTGATGTTATTAACACAGTTTCACATGTACATGTAAATAATGTAATTGTAAGGGTGGTGCTGCTATTGAGTGGCAATCAAGTAGATTTTAAAATTGATACAGGTGCTGATGTAACTGTGATGTCCCATGAAAATTACAGTGAATTGACAAAAAACAGGCTTGACTCCATTTAAGGGCAATTTACAAAGTCCAGGGGTTTTTTAAACCTAGAGGTGTTTTCATAGGTCATTTTAGAGGTAATTAGTACTTGAAAGTAATTGTAGTAGATAACAGGGTGGATAATTTACTAAGTCGTAATGCAGCTCGTGTATTAAAGTTGATCCACAGGGGTAATACTACAAATTGGGTAAAGGGGAATTCCTGTGTGGTAGAAAATAGTGACCAGGTCAAAAATTCCTGTGTGGTAGAAAATAGTAGCCTGGTTAGAAATTCTTGTGTGGAAGAAAAAGTACCCCAGTCAAAAATTCCTGTGTGGTAGAGAATAATGTCTCAGTCAAAAATTCCTGTGTGGAAGAAAATAGTAGCCTCGGGTTCGAAATTCCTGTGGGGATGAAAATAGTGCCCCGGTCGAAAAGCCAGAGGCAAATTCTGATAGTTCCTCGATGGAAAATCTAAAACATCTGGTTGAAAGTAAAGACGCGTCAGAACTTTTCGGTAGTGATGGACTGTATACAGGTAGGCCACTTGATATTAAACTTATCTATGAAGCTGAACCATATGCAGTTGCATGTCCTAGAAGGATACCATATCCCTTGTTAGAGGGGGTAAAGGACGAGTTGAATCAGTGGAGTCAGAAGGTAAGATAAGAAAATATCTGAACCAACTGACTGGTGTGTGCCCATGGTAGCAGTGCAGCGTAAATCAGGTAAGCGTATCAGAATTTTAAAAATGGCGACTCTTATGTACAAGGTTACCTAAAACGAAGTCCCTAGTTATGTTCATGACATATACAGAAATCTTCAAAATCCTGGGGTAGAGTGTGCTCTTCGTGACCGACACGAATACTACATTCCTGCTAAATCATCCACTAAATTCACAAATTCCCCAGCCAATGCACCAATAAGAACATGGAAAACTATCTCTTGTGATGACAAAAACAGTCCCTCAATATCAGCCTTTAAGTCAGTCATGTTACAATAAATGGAAATATAACCCCAACCCCCGTTCAGTGCTGACCACAAAACTAAACCTCAAAAGATCTATCGAAATTAAATTGAATCGTATCCGAGTTGACCTGGCATCCAGAGCAGATTTTTACAGACACAATTTTAAAGAGTTTACAGATCCTTGTTGCCTATGTGGATATCAACAGCAAACTAAGTCTCATTTACTCCTTGATTGCCTTCTATCGAATGGAGCCAGAGAAGTTTTTACCCAAAACCTGAAGGAGCTGCCTACTTTTAATTATAACAACTTTGCCACTTTAACAAAGGCTAGTAAAATCAAGATTATGCTTTTTGAAGATTGTAAACTTTCAGATGAATGTAACAAAGAAATTACCAATTTATCAGCATATCTTATTGACAAAATCATCTCATACTTTATACAAATCCATTATCGTAAGGACAAAGTTCAACCCATCTTTCATCTATCATTATCATTCATTCCTTACATTTCCCATAAGGACTATGTAACACTTATAAAAGACAGGACACATGTTTTAAGAACCTCTATAAATATATGTTTATTTGCAAATTTTATATAAGGGAGGCCAATAATGTAATGCTTTACCTAGTATGTTAACAAGTGTAAAATCTTATTGCAAATAAATAAAACCTAACCTTAAAAAAATCAGAATTTGTGGAGATTTTAGAAAACTAAACAAGAACATCAAACGTGAGATATTTATGATGTCAACGATGGATTCAGTATTAACTAAACTCGCGGACGGTACTGTTTTCTCAAATTTGGATGTCAGTGGGTGTTTTCATCAATTTAGACTCACAGAACAAAGTCAGTTACTCACAACTTTCATGACGCCATTTGGTCAGTATTGTCAAATATGGTACATATTCACACAAGTATGGGTTCCAGGATACAATGGAGCACAAAACCAAATGCTGTAAGGTTTCAACACCTTAAATCTCAGACAATAAATGTTACACATGATGGGCTTAAAGCAATACATGATGACCAACATCGCTATATGGTATCACATATTTACAACCTGGGTATAGATGATTTTCTATCTGGTGGATTAAATGAGATATTTGCACAACAACCCTAAGACACTTGAGCTTATTTTCCAAGGCTTATGAAACAATCACTGGAACTTATTCCAATGTTTATGTAACAATCACTTATTCCAATGCTTATGTAACAACACTTGAACTTATTCCAATGCTTATGAAACAATCACATGAACTCATTCCAATGCTTATGTAACAAGCACTTTTCCCAATGCATATGTAATACACTAAGCAGATTAATGGAAATAAACCTATGAACAACAAATGACTACAGCAATGTCAAATGATCAAGAAACTACAGCAGGGCTATCCTCTGACACTCCAACAACACTCGAGCCCCCATTATACCTTAATGTGACAAACAACATCCCCGAACCTAGACAAAATGATTTTATAATACCTGCAATAATAAAAACTGTCCGTTTTCATAGTGTGTTGTGTAGGCATTGTTATTACTATTCTTGTTGTTAAAAAACTTAAAAGACAGAATCAGTTATATAGCAGTAATTTTATAAGTGGACTGGAATTTAGGGGTGTACAATCAAACGACTGAAGTCTAAACACTATATACATATACATATATGTCATATATAGATATCATATAGAGTTTGTAACCACTGTTTTGATGTTGTTAATTATATCACTCCTGGTTAATATTATTATATATTTATTATTATATATTATATTATTATATATAACTATCCCTAACACACTAATCCCAATAGACTTGTGCTGATGAGTTGTTTACATAACCTACGGCTGACAGTGCCTAAGAACTACTGGACTTTGACTTGCGCAGAGAGACTACTTTATTCCTGACAACAGTTAGTGTCCTACTTTGTAATGGTCAAGATGGAATACTTGTGCGCTGACATTTGCAGTTGAGACAGGACCTATGTAGAATGTATAGAGAGGTGGATGTGCTCCGACATTCCGACAGTTGTAAAACAAAGCATTACATCCGGAAACTGTGCATTGGAAAATGTGGGAGAGACAGGGGTAGTATCTCAAGGTGATGACCACCAAAAAGCTTGGGTCTTTGCTGTGTCCATAATGGGTGCTGTCTTACTCCTTATGCTAAGTAAGTATTGTTGGGATTTGCTACTTTGTGAAGTTGCTGTTTTCTAGTCGTTTATATGTTTGCAGGTGATGGAGTTGGATGCACTGGTACTTAATACTCCAGTATTAGGTAAACACTATTACTGGTGCGATATCATTGTACGAGATGGATCCCGTTTGGCTAGGTGTTCCATGGATGAGAAGTTTATACACAAGATGAAAAAGATAAGTTTGTGACAATGCAAAACGCTGATGTTAGAGCCATTGCAACAGATATTTGTGTTGGAACCATGTAATCTGAAATATGTTTGTAACCTGCCTAATGTATCCGGTGATTGGCTGAAGTTTCTCTATATTAAAAATCCACTGTCTACCTTGTAAGTGGTATCATAATATGTTACTTTAAAACAGAGTCAAAAGAAAGAACAAGAACAACAAGTTTATATTCTAATTTAAAGTAAATTAAGTTTCTGGTAAAGTCTAATTAAATAATTGTCCCTTATAGTGATTATAGCC